ATCATGTCAAAACTCACCATCGAGTAAATGGCAAAGTATACAGGTGTGCATTATTATTTTTATTAATTTGATTATTTTCCAAGCTGTTCAATTAGTTTGGGAAGCGTGGTTACCCTTATTTTTGAACCTGTCCCTCATTTCAGGGAGCTGATTTGATGACATGTAAAAGCTCAGTCAAATAAGGTGGCACGAACCCATGTAAAATCTTAAAAACAATTAACAAAATCTTACAATCAATCCTAAATGAAGAGAGAGCCAGTGGAGCGAGGCTATGACTTGGGTAATATGCTCACTTTTTTAGTCCGAGTTAATAGTTGATCGTCCAGCAAATAAAAAATTACAGTAGTATTTTCTTGATTGTGATAAATAAATGAATTACAGTTTCAAACTACTTACGGGGCAAGTAGGGTTTGACTTTACAGTGAAACACTAATTTAACTACTGTAGTTTTGTTTTTATTAGTGTTTGAATTAGATTTGATCTTTTCTAATGACCTTTTCTGACTTGCACTTATCAAAATATTTACAATAAATTAAAAAAGGGTCATGCTAAATATAGTTTTCAATTATTAAAAACCTCTTGTTCACATATGGGTATAACCTACTTAGTAGTAAAGTGTGAAATTATATATATATATATATATATATATATATATATATATATATATATATATATATATATATATATACAGTGGCGCAAAAAGGGGGTATGCAGTATATGCGGCGCATAGGGGCGCCACACATGGGGGGGGCGCCATTGTGCCAAAACTATTTTTAAAATTACCCTTATTAAAAGTTTTAAATAATAAAAATAAATAAATATGTTTTGTTAAAAAAAAATATTTTGCATTTTATAAAAATATAATATTGTTATTGTTTAATTCAAAATCATTTAACACAATAACATGCAGTCACACAGCCGAAAGTGTTCATGTAGATGTAACTGTTTAGATTTGTTTTTATTTTTATCAAAATAAACTGTCAAATCATACATAATGTCAAAAGTTATAAGGTTAATCTGAAAATTTGTCTTCATTTATTATTAATTAATTAATTTAATTATTAGTTTGCCAAAATAAGAGGATCACACAAAATTTGAACCCGCATACCCCTCAGTAAACGTGTAGTTGCGCCCCTGTATATATATATATATATATATATATATATATATATATATATATATATATATATATATATATATATATATATATATATATATACATATATACATATATATATATATATATATATAAATAGAGGGAATTCTAAATAAAACAAATTTTCCACCAAGTAAAATAATTTGCACTTAAAAAAGGCCTCCAAGAGTGGATTTAAAATCTCAAACGAACAAATAAAAAGAACTGGAAGTACTCACAATGTCTGAGTTGAATGGTTTGACGTTTATGTTGCGGATTGAGCTGCTGGTTAAAGTCCACACTTTGGTTTTGTGTTTGAAAGCTGCTCTCACCTGTCGAAGAGTATTAACACATGACATCAGTTCACACATTATGCTTAACTGATTCAAACCCCAACAAAAAAGGCTGTTAAACGTTGAAACGGTTCCTAATAAGCTCATTCACATAACGCAGTATCACATTATCACCACTAGATGTCGATCGCATCTGCAGATGCATAAAGACAACTCATTTCCACTAGTGCGCATATTATGGCAAGCTGTTTTGACATTATCTTGGTACCAGCACTATTTTAAACATGTTTTCCATTATGTTTTAGTGCTTATTCATTGGCTAATTGTGCTTATCTTGTGCTACACTCTCAGAAATAAAGGGAGCCTACTTTAGCTGTCACTGGGGTGGTACTTTTTCAATAGGTATAATTTTTCCATAAAGGTCCATATTAATACCTTAAAGGTACATATTAGTACCTAAAAAGTACAAAAGTGCTCTTCTTAAAATCTGTAGGCAATAAACTATACTTTTGGGGTAGTCTAACAATATAGACCCATTAAGAACAAATGTGTACCACCCCAGTGACAGCTCACGAATCTATATCTGAGAGTGTAGTCCTCCTTAAATATATCACTAGATTTCACAAGCGAGAAACTATTATTGTAAAAAATTAAAAACTTCTTGCCATTGACTTCTATGGAGATCTGTTATTACTATTAAAGGCTATTAAGTTTTGAATAATTTACACTAGTAGTACATACTTTTATATACTAATAATTACGTCAAGAACTGAATATGTTTTATATCTATGACAGAGCTCTATTGAAGTAAATGGTAAAACATTTAAAATTGTAGCTGAAACAAACAAACAAACAAACAAACAAACAAACAAACAATTACTAGTCAGTAAATATGGTAGTACAATTATCTAATGAATAAGTAGGAAAACTTTAATTTAAAGAGCCCCTATTAAGGTATTTTGAAAATGACCTTGCAGTGTGCAACATAGCTGTAAGTGAATGAAAACATCCAGCTGAGGGTTAAATCTGAAAGTGCGCCTTGTTTAAAAATATTGATTTTTGAAAAAAGATTCGACTCAGAGTTGTTTAAATCAGTGTTTCTCAGCCACGTTCCTGGAGCATGTTTTGGATGTCTCTGTTGTCTGTCACACCTATTACAGGTCTTTCAGTCTCTGCTAATTAGCTGATAATCTGAAACAGGTGTGTTTAGTTAAGGAGATCTGGAAAATGTGCAAAGCTGGTGGTCCTCCAGAAACGTGGTTGAGAAACACTGGTTAAAATGATTCATCATTCGTCCGGATCTTTTGCCTGTTCATATTGATGATGACAATACCAAATATGAACTGCTTGATTAGGTAAAACATGAACGTGGCTTTCCCTTCAATTGCTAGCAGAGTGCGGGGGATGATAGGATTGATCATGATGCAGAGATTATTATCACTGAGAGACATGCGCCAGACATGTGACTGTGGGGAAGGATAAGGTTTATTTTCACAACAACACCACAGTATAGCCAACTAGTGTGCTGTGTTTGTTCCGGTAATTTTCTGATGATTGATACAATAACCTACCTGCAGCGTGGGATTTGCTGCCCATTTGTTAATAAAGGAAGGATCAGCAAAGACTACTTATATACAAATAATATTTATGTATGGGACTTTTTCATTTCTTTGTCAAAGAAACTTTGTTTCTTCTTCCTCCAGATTCCGTGTTTCTCCTTTCTACACAATGTAAAGTGTGGTTAAACTTTTTCTCTGTAGTTTGCAAAACATGTATTTAATTGTGTGTTGTGACTTGTAATTGCTCAGTGCAGCTTGTAATCCTGTATCTGTTATAGATCAGTGCTTGTACTGTATCTCTTAGGTAAAATCTGTATGGGCTACTTACATATCGTGTCCAAAACCATGTTGAAAATGCGACGCATGCTTCTTTCTTTAACGATTTAAATGAGTGTTGTGCTCGCAATCTCTTGCTGTTTGTCGGCTGTCCCTACACACACTCGTGTGGCGCGACCAATTTTCGAAATTGTTCAACTTTTGCCACCGAGTGGATTAATTGTGAATGTGCGTGTCATTGTTATTATTTGGGGTTGTGGCTAAGAATAAAGGAATATGCTGGAGTTTAACTACATTGCTTTACTGCATTCCTACATTGGGCTCACACATATCCCTTGTGCTACTTCTTAATCATGCCGGGCGTTTCTCTTCATCTTCATTCGTCAGCGTCTTGTGTTGAATGCAGTCTACCAATCACAACAGACTGGGTAATCGGACCAATCAGTGCAGATTAGCCTCATGCTAAGGAGGGGTTTTGGAACAAATTAATTTTTGTTAAAAAACAAAATATTACCTTTTATGAAGCATGATAGGGGCTCTTTAAGTATCAATTCTCACTAATAACTAAAGGCTTATTACCTGCCTATTATTTAGATATTGGATGTTTATTAGTACTTGAAAAGTAAATATTCTGTTGATCTTATTAGAAAAGCAATTAGTAATTAGTAAAGCTTAATTAGTAAAGTTTATTTGAAGACAATTAAATTGTTATGCTATTTAATTCATAATTTTTTTCTCACAATTTTTGGTTGGTTTGTTTTATTTTGTACAAATCAAATCCCAAAATGTTTTTAGCATGAATATATATACAATAGTTTTGCTATTAGAGTTAATGTTAGCACGGCTTGCCATATGCTGTTTGCTTCGCTACATCAGACATTTCCCCAGATACACAGCACAGACTTCAGTCACAGCTGCACAAACACACACTTACCTCAGAGTTTAACAGACAGTGAAACAGGAATATGAAGAACCCCTTAGAGAAAAAAAAAAAAGAAAACAAAAGATAACGCTAAATGTTGTGGAAAGCGCTCCAATTCACATCTGCAACAGTTCTTACAAGTCAGTCCAGGTCCAAAGTCATTTCAAACATCGTTATGTCTCGTATTTTTAAAGCTGTCATTGTTTGGCCAACATGCTATTGACTTTGGAGGCCGCTAACTATGTGAAAATCGATCAGTTTGTGTAAAACCTGTGGTGATTTGTGCAGCTCTGTTTTGTTACACAGTAGTGATAACTGACCTGAAGAGAGTTGAACACTGCGAACATGTACTGGAAAAGCAGAGAGTGATCATTCACCGCCAGAACCCCAAAGACCCACGATATGCCCAGAATAGGTAAAAGAACAGCCACTGCTTTGGTCGTCAGCCTGCAAAGACATGTATAAGCATGAAAAAAAGTCTAGTGACTTTTCTTTCTAGATTGCTTTTTTTACATTTACATTTAGTCATTTAGCAGACGCTCTTATCCAAAGCGACTTACAAATGAGGAAAAGGAAGCAATTTACACAACTATAAGAGCAAGAGTAAGAGTATAAGAGTATATTTTTCTATACTTCCCATGTTTTTTGTATGAATTATGTGGGTAACTCCTATTAAACTGTAAACAATCAGTAAAGTGTTTAAAAAACAATGTGATTGCATTATTATCCTTGCAGTTCATCCAATATTTAAACTGATTAGAATTAATAAATGACATTTAGACAGACCACGATTAACCCCAAAAACTCAAGATGAGTCTTTCTGCACCAACATTAAAAACATGTAGAATTTTATTATACTTTACAGAATGCAAAGAATAAAATATATATTAAGAAGCAATACACAATCACACTAATGTCACATTGAACAAAGACAAATTTCTTCTCACTCAGTATTCACTGTATATATGCAGGGATGGGCAAAAATACATTGAAATGTATTTTAAAATAAAATACCAAATACCTCAATTTTAGGTGTATCAAAAAAACGACAACAACAATTTCAAAATACAGCAGCCACAACACGTATCAAAATAAAATACTGTATTTTAAAAATACTACAAAATACTTTTACAAGGGAGAATGACATTCTTTTTTCAACAGGACTATTGGATCAATCCCTTGAACATTAAACTGATTTACTGAAGTAAACAATGCTTGATAACAACAGCCTTTCTTTGAGTGAGTTTAAGTCAGCTTCTCTGCACCTCATCACCTCTACTGTAAGATCTCTTTGATTTTAGTACAGATTTTGTACACATTTTATACAGAAAGTCCTGTCCTGAAGATCTCTTGTCACTATAATAACCATTTCAAGAGTTCACAGTTAGTTGATGATTGATTATAAAGCTTGTTTGGAATGCTGTCCCGGGAGAGTGCCCTGAGCTCATCCTCGAGCCCAGGGCTCCCCCTGTTTGCAAGGCGAGAGTGGAGTTCGAGCGAATCCCTATGTGGTCAGTGACAATTACTGTGATAATGGTACTAAACGATGTTTTTTTACGCTTTGTCTGTAGTCTAATTATCGTAAGTTCAGTTTCCCTTTGTGGAACGAGAAAACAGACTACGGCCCCCTTGTGGAGCAAAATGACACGTACTCTTGCGTAGGTGCAAAAATTGTCTCTCGTTTCAGTCAATGTTTGTCCCTGTGGTGTGTTCATGTACAGCTGTTTGGTCCAGATGTGATCCAACACAAGCCAACAACAAAGTAAGGTTTTATTTTTCGCTAGTTGTTTTGACTTGGTAGGTCTCGGCCCTAAGTGGTAACTTAAACCTGATCATCAGAGTTTCTACACAAAAAGTCTAAATCAGAGATGCCCAAAGTAGGGCCCATGGGCCAAATTTGGCCCATTAAATCCTTTGATTTGGCCCACCATTCCATCTGAGAAGAGTGTGAGAAGGATGGAACGGGTTGGGGCGAATGTCTTGAAAAGAGATCATCATTTCTAATTTGGAGAAACTTATTTTTTGCTTGTTTTATTGCTGAGCTACAAAAAAGCAAACTGAAATGAATTAAATATTGTAAATAAATATGATTTTTAAAATGTAAATTTTATCACTCTACAGATAAAGGACTTTGCAGAAGACACCCGTGAACAAATCAAGGCAAAAACTAGTGTGACTCCATTCTGTGAGATTGTTTTATGTTTCTAACTATAATAAGTTTATTATAAAATGTACAAAATATGCTGTATTAGTTAATATAAAGCAATGTTTTCTAAAATATTATTATTTTTAAACGTTATTAAATTAATTAAGGAATTACCCATGGCATCTATATTTACCTTCGACTAGCCACAATCAAGTTTGGTTTTTGGCCCTTCATAAGAATAAGTTTGGGCACCCCTGGTCTAAATGCTTTCAAATATAGAGTGAAATTCGCATTGAAAAATAGCAGGAGGTGAACATGTTGATGCCTGTCAGTCACTGAAGGACAAAGTTCAAGCTTACTCCCAGAAAGACATGGCGAGTGGTCAGTAAGTGTCCATTTTTCTCCAGTATTATCGCTGCAGATTTTGACAAGGATCGGTAAGTTTATTGTCTAGCGCAGTGGTGTCCAAACTCGGTCCTGAAGGGCCAGTGTCCTGGAGAGTTTAGCTCCGACCCTTATCAAACACAGCTAAACCAGCTAATCAAGCTTTTACTATATATACTAAAAACTTCCTGGCAGGTGTGTTGAAGCAAGTTGGAGCTAAACTCAGAGGACACTGGCCCTCCAGGACCGAGTTTGGACACCCCTGGTCTAGTGTTTTTCTCTTTGCCGTTTCTCAATGTGAATTTCACTCCATATCCTGAAGTATTTAGTCTTGTAATGAAAAAAAAATCAATGGTAGTGAAGACCAACGTCCTATAGATTGAAAACCAAGAGCAGCGAAATGTGGCTTTATATCAGTATCTATCTTCTGAGTTGTGACAGATCCTCTGGGTGCTTTGGTTTCCCCCACAGTCCAAAGACATGCTGTATTGGTGAATTGGGTAGGCTAAATTGTCCATAGTGTATGTGTATGTGTGTGAATGATTGTGTGTGGACATGTACCAGATGAGTTGGCGGTTCCTTCCGCTGTGGCGACCTCAGATTAATAAAGGGACTGAGCCGAAAAGAAAATGAATGAATAAATCTTCTGAGTTGTGTTTAAATAGCTGAGGACAGCATCAATCGAATTGATGTCACATACCGATCACATCCTAAAATAATGGTGGCCCTCATAATACAAAATAAATTTGAATTTTTTAATTAAACAACATAAATATTATATTGGCTTTCGACTTCGGATTTCATTAGGAGACATTATTCATGATATAATGTTACATTATTTATTCTATACAAGTCTTGATATGTGGGAAACCCTTTAAGGCAATGGCAGCATGGATGTTACAATCAAGATACTCACTTCACAGAGTTGGCGTCTCCATGAACCTTATAGTTCTCAGCGCTGATCCTGGATATGATTCGAGTCACAGCTACCAAAATGCCAATGTTCACCTGGATGGCAGAGAATGCAACATTACAAGTGTTTCTTGAATTTAACACACCTCATTAACAGCTACTTACCAATATAACAAACAGTGCAGGAGCTACAAAAGCCCAAATCGCCCCATTTTTGAGAGACAGCCAGCAACTAGGACAGAAAAAGACAAAACAAACGGGACACATGATGTTAGAATGATGTCATCTTAATGGACTGTATATTGACCATGCGTGGACTCTTGCTGTTGTGATGGAAACTTACTTGTCATCTTCTCCATAGCTGTGTAGTGACGAGGTCATAGACACCACACATATGACTAAAGGACAGCCTGAGGAAAGACAGCAGTTTTAGAGGGACTATTCAGTGCAATTTTTTATGATATAACCGATCATTTATTTTACACATGCTAAGTGGGGACCTGAAGCTCTGATTGATGTCTACCTATCCAACAGGGGGCCTTCATAGACTGCAGTGACACTGAGTGTAAAATGCAGTAAAAGTGTTCTGATGGAGTCCTGGTGGATATAGTGGGTCTGAATGAGAGCCCCGCTCACCTCCCTACCACTGAGAGTGAGTTGCCTCTGGAAAGAGATGCTACTCATTAGTTTTCTGGAGTCAATTCAACCCATCCCAGCTGTTCCCAGAAAGCAAAGACTCATTTCCACTTCCGCTGTTACCAGACAGCATCCTTGTTCCACTGTTCCCAGACGACAGTAACTCTACAGTCATAAGTGGCATCCCACCTAAGCCTTCCTTTCCACCTTTGTATGTGCCAGCTCCTACAGCCATCAGCCATTTTTCCCTTCGTCCTCACCTCCAGCCTCTGATCTGCACCTCTGCCCTCTAACCCTAAGGATGTGCATTGGCTAACTTCTTCCACATCTCCACCATGGACTGTCAGCTCACCAGCTCTGCCAGGCTCCCTCATACCTCCAGCTTCTCCTTGGTCAGTTGTTGCCTTTCACTTGCCTCTGGACTCCACTCATCTTGCTCGGCCTCGTCACTCCATTCAGCGTTGAGCTCCTTCTTTCCTCTAGCTCCACCTTGGTCTTCTGTCACTCTGACTCCACTGCAGGCTTCCAAATCCACATCTTTGCCTCGGTCGGGCGAAACGTTTGCTCTACCTTGGCCCTCCGTGACCTCGGTATAACCCTCGCCCTGTGGCTCTTCGTCTCCTCCTTGGGCTCCACCTACATCAGCAGCGTCTCTCTCGGTCGGCCCCCTTGAGTCATCGGCCACTCCATCCTGGGCTGTCTTCCTGGCTGCATACTGGATCATATGCCTCCTGCTCCAGCTACCTTCCTGTTTCCTCCCTCCATCTTACTCTTCCCTGGCCACCTCCTTTCCCTGTTCATCTACAGTTTCCCTCATAATTCCTCCTTAAAGTGACTCCTCCCCTGGCAATTTCAATTCAATTCTTTTTTGTTTCTATAGCGCTTTTACAATGTAGATTATGTCAAAGCAGCTTAACACCTATAGTTCAAGTAAATGAAAACTTTGTCAGACCAGTTTCCAGAGTTTAAGTATGACAAAGTTTAAGTTTAATTTATACTGCTGAAGTCCAAGCCCTAAAAAGTAAATCCATTGATGCACAGCTCCACAAGTTCCAAAAGTCCCAAAACCATGCAAGCCAAAGGTGGCAATGGTGAGGAAATACCTTGTGTGCTATGCCGCGGTTTTCATACATGCACATATTTAAGATTTGAGGTAATAACATTGCCATGATTGTCAAAGAATTTGAAACATTCTTTTCAAATTAATAGGGCACTATAAAGGCTAAAGAACTTAATGCTTATATTTTCTTTTTGCAGCCTAGGGCTATATTTCTCACCACAAACTGTATCTTTTTTAAAACATACAGTATAGTGTAAAAGCATGTTTATAAGAAAACTAAAACAAATGTATATTTTAATTGAATCACATAATCACATAAGGTAACATACAGAACCGTCTATCTAGTATTGTGAAAAGGCAAAGCTAAAAATCTGTGGTTGAAGCGCCACCCAGTGGTCAAAAGCTGCTGGCGCACCAACTACCACCGCTGCAGCGGTATGGACGGCAGCAAAGGGAACAAATTGAAGTAGTGACATCTGTATGTCATGTGATTCCTATGTGTGGTTTTCCATGTGCTTACGTTTTGTCATGTGATTGCTTTGATCCGTTTTCCCGCCATTTGTTAATGTTTATTAGTTCCACCTGTGTCTCACCCCTGTTTGTTATCAGTTCAATCATGTCTTGGTATATACCCCTTATACCCCTGAGTTTGTTTAGTTCATGGCCTGGTATTGTATTGTCACCATTCATCATCTTGCCTGTATTTCAATGTGCTAGTTCTTTGATGTAATTTTTTTTTGTAAATACATAGATGAGTTTTGATACGTGGAGTTTCACTAAATAATTTGAAGAATAGCATGTGATATGATTGAGCACGACTGGCTTCTCATTTGTAATCAGTAATAATCCAATAAGAGTGATCCAAGCTTACTATAAATGGATCGTTTTCTCCCTACTGCCCTATCTTCATTTTGGAAGAATCCCCCCTTCCACCCCATCTCCTCCTTTTCCTCCCTTTTCTAAGGGGGAGCTTTTTGAGACCTACCTGAACTCGGATCCCCTTAAATGCTTATTGACCAGGCGGAAGCCTTGGGCTGTAGAATTTCCGAGCTCAGGGTTCTCTCCCGGGACAGCATGCCAAACCTGGTCTAAACGCTAAGCATATCCAATTAGGAACTCTTGAAATCCTGTTTCACAAGCTTTACTACTATGACCCCCTTAGTCAAAATGTAAAAAAAAAAAACTTCACCAAAGGCCTTTTCATTTGATTTTAACATGATTTAAGGCATGTTCACTAGGGGACATGGAAAATGTCCCCTTTTGGCTTCAGGTCCCATGTTAGTTGTTGTGTAATGACACCAAGGTCCCTTCTTAGATAGGTAGGCAAGTGGGTACACACACACACACACACACACACACACACACACACACACACACACACACACACACACACACACACACACACACACACACACACACACACACACACACACACACACACACACACACTTAAGCATAGTAAATCTATAATATAAAGAGTATGCAGTTTCTTAGTAGTCTTTGCCAAATCTCTCCATCTCAACATGTGTTTTCTCTATATATGAGTGACGTGCTAAAAGACGAATGTTTGTGGGAAAAACCTGGAACGTTACTGGAGCTAAAAATACCTGGTTGTAAAACCAAGTGTAGAAGTTTTCAGATTATGTCGTAGGAACTAAAAATAAGAAGTGTTGGACTGTAGCCGGCTGTTTCATGCCACCATAAATAAAGAGCAGTGTACCCGTGCCAAAAGCTTTTAGAAAGGGAGTACACTTCAGTTTAAAGTAATGACTAAGTCTAACAAAGCCCGTTTTCTTCACCCACATCAAGCCTATCACGCGTATCACTATGGAGACAAATAAACATGTCTATTTATTCGACAATGTATCATATTTAATAATGAAAAACACCTTTAGTAATAATGATGCCAATTTGCATGTAGTAAAAGTGATTATTGACTCACTTCTAGGCCTCTCGTAACACCGGCAATGTCAAATTAGGTGTAAAAAAAGCAGATTATAAACTGTTCTCCAAACAGCACATGTTGTCTATTATCACATCTGCACACTGGAGAACAGCTCAATTAATAACAGTGACGGCATCATTAGCGATGACCCACTGAAGACTCTGCTAAGATTTAATGTCCTTTAATCTACTGACAGCTCAGAAAGACCGTAATGCACAAATGTCTTATTTTCCTCCCTTTTTGAGCATCAGGGAGGAGGAGGATCTCTCTAAATGCCTGCCATGGGACAACCTCATTTGACTCCCGCGGGCTTACAGTATGTGTTATGGTTTGTTTAAGGCCAATGAAACTGTTCTGATGTTTCTTCTCAGCATGTGTGATCTAGTTCAAGCGTGTCTGTGTGTAATGGAGCAAAGAAGTTTATATGATTTTTAAGATGAATTCAATGAACAGCGCCACTGTATTAGATCTATTTTAGTGGCGAAAACTGTACTAATCACAGGGGGTAGGCAATATGACAATATATATTATATGGGCACAAATTGAAAGTATTTCATTTCATAATATTCGCTATTGTTTGGTGTCACAAACGATTGTTTAAGGTAATGATTTTTCATAATTTATATGAGTGGAATATTACATCATTATGGGAATAAGTCAGAAGTATGAATAACAGCACTGTGAGAAGGTTGCGATCATAAAAGTACACATAAATGTTTACATTTTAAATTTATTTAGTGACCAGTAATAATTTTTAGTTTTTAAAATGTTAAGGGCATCATGGTGGAGCAGTGGGTAGCACAATCGCCTCACAGCAAGAAGGTCACTGGTTCGAGCCCCATCAGTTGGCATTTCTGTGTGGAATTTGCATGCTCTCCCTGTGTTCGTGTGAGTTTCCTCCGAGTTCTCAGGTCTCCACCACAGTCCAAAGACATGAGGTATAGGTGAGTTAAATAAGCTAAATTGGCTGTAGTGTATAAGTGTGTATGGATGTTTTCCAGTGTTAGGTTACAGCTGAAAAGCCATCCACAGCATAAAATGTATGCTAGATAAGTTCGCGGTTCATTCCGCTGTGGTAACCCCTCATCAGTAAAGCCAAAAAGAAAATTAATGAATGATTGAAAAGTGTTAAAATGTATTTTATATTTGTACAATTAGCAAACATTTTTGCTAAATCTTCTAAATAAGTGAGAAATATGATCACAGATGAATGGGTAAATTTCTGAGTATATTCATTCATTCACTTTCCTTTAACTTAGCTTATTAATTATTATTAATTAATTGAACTTAAACAAATGGTACCATGTCATGAAAATCAGTTGAATTATTAGCCCCCCTTTGATTTTTGATTTTTTTTAAAATATTAATCAAATGATGTTTAAGAGAGCAGGGAAATTTTCACAGTATGTCTGATAATATTTTTGTCTTCTGGAGAAAGTCTTATTTGTTTTATTTCGGCTAGAATAAAAGCAGTTTTTAATTTTTTAAAAACCATTTTAAGGTCCCAATTAATATCCCCTTTATGCAATTTTTTTCTCAATAGTGTACAGAACAAACCATCGTTGTACAATAACTTGCCTAATTACCCTAACCTGCCTAGTTAACCTAATTAACCTAGTTAAGCCTTTACATGTCAACTTAGGCTGTATAGAAGTGTCTTGAAAAATATCTAGTAAAATATTATGTACTGTCATCATGGCAAAGATAAAATAGATCAATTATTAGAAATTAGTTATTAAAACTATTATGCTTAGAAATGTGTCAAACAAATCCGTTAAACAAAAATTGGGGAAAAAATAAACAGGGGAGCTAATAATTTAGGGGGCTAATAATTCTGACTATAACTGTATATTATTATCAGGATATGAGATGACTAAATCTCATAAATTAAACTTAATTAATATGTATAATATTGCTTATTTATTTGTACAGAAAAAGTTCTAACATAAAAAAATTGTAATTCACAAAATGTACTTTAACGCATGCATTTATTCTTTATTCAACTTTGTTCTTATGTTACTTAAAGTGCTACTATTATGCTTTTTCAGACAGTAACATTCATGTGGTCAGTAATGTAACCGTCTTGTAAATGAAAAAGCACTTTCGAACGTCAAATTGCATTTAAACATGGAATTTTTGCCTCCCAATTGAAAGAACACCTTCTGAACTGCCTGAAATGAGTCAGTAATTCCAGCTTTCTGCACATAAGCCTATCGGTTTGTAGCAATTTTGCATAATGTTTGCCTGTGGGCTTTTGTATCATTTTCACATGTGGATTTAAAGTGATGTGGTAAAGTAAAGAAATGCTGAGACATGCACTTTAAACAGTGAATCAATCAGAGCAGCTGAAGACAAAGCATCTAGCCAGTAAAAACAGAAAATGCTTTAAGCACAGGTATAGAAAGTCTAAATCGCCCAAAGAACCGTTATGTAAGAAAAGTGTTGTTGTATTGTATTTTGTAAAAGTTTTTTAAGTTTTTAATAATTTCTTTTTTTAATAAGGAGCTTCTAAAATGGTACACTAAGGGACATTTAATTGACATTTTAATAATCTTTCTAACAGGTACGATATGTTAATTAGACAAGTGACATCAGTGGTTTGTTGTGTAGCCAGTGGTTTGTTCTTTTAATTCTTATTTTTAAGGCAGCTCATGTGCTAATATGATTGACCTTAGCAGTGACCCAAGTGTGTGTGTGTGTGTATATCTGAAGTTTTAATCTCTAAATATGGAATAATTTAATCACAAAAGACCACAAAACCAGCCATAAATGTCAATTTAATTGTTTTATTGAAATACATCATTTACAGTTGAAGTCAGAATTATTAGCCTCCCTTTGATTTTTTTTCTTATTAAAATATTTTCCAAATGATGTTTAAGAGAGTAAGGACATTTTCACAGTATGTCTGATAATATTTTGTTCTTCTGGAGAAAGTTTGATTTATTTTGTTTCGGCTAGAATAAAAGCAGTTTAATTTTTTTATTAATCAATTTAAGGTCAATATTATTAGCCCCTTTAGGCTTTTTTTTAACGATTATCTACTGAAAAAACCATCGTTATACAATAACTTGCCTAATTACCCTAACCTGCCTAGTTAACCTAATTAACCTAGTTAAGCCTTTAAATGTCACTTTAAGCTGTATATAATTGTCTTGAAAAATATGTAGTAAAATATAATTGACTGTCATCATGGCAAAGATAAAATAAATCAGTTATTAGAGATGAGTTATTAAAACTATTATGTTTAGAAATGTGTTGAAAAAATCTTCTCTATGTAAAACAAATTGGGAAAAAATAAACAGGGGGGGTAATTATTTAATGGGGGGGGGGGTGAGTGTAAACATTCTGACTTCAACTGTACATTAGCTTTTCTTTGTTGTGTACTTTGTTAGGGTAAGGACATACTGTAAATTTTGATAATTGGTAGAGTTCTGAGGGTTCGGAAGAAAATGTAAATACTGAGAACATCACTATTACTAATAAAAAAATTGTTTTGATATATTTTTACAGCAGGACATTTCCTAAATATATTTACAGAACATGATCTTTACATAATATTACATCTAATGATTTTGGCAGAAAAGAAAAATCAATAATTTTACCAAACTTTTGGCGATTGCTTAGAATACACACGTGTAACTTAAGACTGGAGGTTTTGTGGTTCAGCGTCTTCAATTTTTTTTCTTCTTTTTAAAATATTTTCCAAATGGTCTTTAACAGAGCAAGAAAATTTTCACAGTATGTCTGATAATATTTTTTCTTCTGGAAAAAGTCATATTTGTTTTATTTTAGCTAGAATAAAAGCAGTTTTAAATTTTTTAAACACCATTTTAGGGACAAAAAAAGCTATATTTTTTCTTGATAGTCTACAGAACAAACCATCATTATACAATAACTTGCCTGATTAACCTAACCTGCCTAGTTACCTTTATTAACCTAGGTAAGCCTTTAAATGTCACTTTAAGCTATACAGAAGTGTCTTGAAAAATATCTAGTAAAATATTATTTGTGTTAAACAAATCTTCTCTCCGTTAAACAGAAGTTGAGGAAAAAATAAACAAGCAGTCTAATAATTCAGGGGGGCTAATAATTTTGACTTCAACTGTATGTGTAACAAGAAAATATATATGTGTATATGTGATGAGGTCAATAAAACTGAAGAGAAATTCAATTGCTTTGTAGATGCAATCACAATGGATCACAGTGATGTCAAAAAGTGGCAATAAAGTTCTCAAAGTATAAAGGATGGTGGTGGTCCTCTGCAATCTCAACACATAGCATTCAAAAAACCTAAAAAAAAAAAGTTGTACTCACCCCATCCAATGGCATAGTAATAAAAGTGTTTGCTGCCCTCTGAGCCAAAAACTTTAATCACCATACTGTAGAGATGCAGCCCTTCGACCAGCATCCAGGAAAACGCGCACAGGAAGAAGAAATGCAGCAACACGGCCATAATCTTACATGGGAGCTGAAAAAAAGAGGACATTATCATTCACTGTGGCATTTGAGGACAAGCGTCTAGACAGAATGCAACTCTGAGAAAACCGATCTGTTTTCTGCTAATGTAATAGATGTTGTTCAAATAAATGCGACTGACAGCACCACTGAGCTCAATGAGTTCATACCATCTCAGCGGTGACATTACCACGGCAAGAGTTCAGCCAAGTCCTCAAACAGAGGAAGCACAATCAAATTAACCGAGTATCAAATGAATCTGCCCGTAATGCTGGAGGCATGTTAGGAGATTAGCAGAGTCATCGGCTCATTCCACCTTATTGGATTTCTTTATGTAATGACAACATGCTGTTTCTGTTACTGATAATGATGCGATAATCACCATCGACAACAAAACACAATTCCACACAGAGATGCTGGCGTCATCTGAACATTTCATTATCAGATAAATCATCACTGTGATGTACTGTATGTGTGGAAAATTATTAGTGTTGTTATTTGGATGTTTGCTAAGGTTTTCAGGGTATATTTCACTATTTACAGAAATGATTTTGGGTTTGCAATATAAGTATATTCTGTGAGTTTTGTAAGCATATTTTGTGAGAGTATATTCTGAAGCACGATATAAAAGCTTTAAAGATATATTTGGAAATAAATTATGATTTGGAAATTAAAACACTTTCAGATAAAATCCATAGTTATTTGAGAAACCATACACAGCAAAATCCTCTGAGTAACATTTACTCAGTTCCGATATTATTTGACTCCTCTTTAAATATGGGCAAAGAGGTTGATAATAAGTACAGTAGCTGTTTGTGGAGTTGCTTAAAGATCCTCTGCTGAGATTTTGAGAGATTTCAGCTGATTTCATTTAAGGCTATGACTGAAGTCAGTTGTATTTTTGTTTTTCTCTTCTGTGCTTGTTTATTAACAGAAGGTGTTCATAATCAGTGCTCAATCATCACCTAATAAAACCTTTCATTGTCTTATTAACTTGAGTAACTTTAACTCAATTTAGAGTCAGACCAAATCCGATCTAAACTGAGTAAATTTTAGGATTTTTGCGGTGTAGCAAGTTTTTTTTTTTTTCAGTTTTCACTGCCTGCAATATGATGAGCCTTTTTAAAGTGACCAAAACTCACTGATGACAGGTTGTCCAGATGAAGTCCAAAGGAATGAGTTTCTCATCAATAACAAGAGACGTTAGACATTACAGATCTGTGATTTCTAGAATATTACAATGTCAATAACTCATTTAAGTACCATGCAAAAAGTGCCAACTTAAGTGAAGTTTTTCAAACTAATTTCGAGAGGAGCACATGATATAATTGACTGCAGCTGGCCTCTCATCTACTCTCATTAGTTAGCCAATCAGATCTATCATAACTCACTATAAGTAGCCTAGCTAGATTTACTTCCTTATCTTAGTTTTCTGAAGAAACCCCCCATCCACCCCTTTCTCCTCCTTTCCTCCTTTAAAAAAGGGGAGCTCTCGAGAACCACCTGATCTCGTACTCCCCAAACATGCTCTATGGACTTGGCGGGAGCCCTGGGCTCAACTATCAGGGTTCTCTTCCAGGACAGCATGCCAAACCTGCTAACAGTTGTCAAGCAATATCTAAGTGTGAACTCTTGAATAAGGACTTGAAGACATGATGGCCTTTGAGGGCAACACACAATTCTAAGCAAGACACAAATACATGCAATCATTTCATTCATTTTCTTTTAGCTTAGTTCCTTTTATTTATGAGGGAAATAAACAGCCATCTATTTCAGCATATGTTTTACACAGTGTATGTCCTTCCAGCCGCAACAAAGTTCTGGGAAACACCTATACCAGGGGTGGCCTACCCTGTTCCTGGAGAGCCACCTTCCTGCAGATTTCAGTTGCAACTCATATCAAACACACCTGCCTGTAATTATCACGTGGTGTTCAGGTCCTAATTAATTGATTCAGGTGTGTTTGTTATTGGTAGCAATTGAAATCTGCAGGAAGGTGGCTTTCCAGGAACAGGGTTGGCCACCCCTGACCTATACACTCTCACATACACATACACACACACACGCACACACACACACACACACACGCACACACGCACACACACACACACACACACACACACACACACACACACACACACACACACACACACACACACACACACACACACACACACACACAAACTACGACCAATTTAGTTGATCCAATTCACCTATAGTGAATGTCTTTGGACTGTGGGGGAAACCGGAACACTCAGAGAAAACCCATGCAAACACGGGGAGAACATCCACACAAAAATGCCAACTGGCCCAGCCAGGACACAAACCAGTGACCTTCTTGCTGTGCCCCAACACGAATACACTTAATTGAAAATGTATCACACACATAGACTTCACCTTTTTAGAAATGCCACTATATACTGTATAACTGCAGGTTGACTATGTTTATATACAGTCCAGCCTATAAACAATTTATATACTGTCCACCCTATACACAGTCGCTGAACTTTTCAGATTTTGACTAAAGTAATAATGTGCACCTTTTGTAAAGCTGCTTTGGAATGATAATTATTGTTAAAAGCACTAAACAAATAAACTTGAATTGAAAAATAAAATGCTTGAGATTCCTACAAATGGGGAGGATAATGCTGAGAATCTCAATGGAAAATTGCCTGAAGCACTGAATAGAGTAAAGATCTGCCTCAAAATACAGTGGCCTGATTCATCTAACAAATGTGCAGAGATCCAAGCACACAAATCAACTCAAGAGAAGATTAAAGTGTGACTCGTGAACCATTGCTGTCTATAGAGGATGTGGGAGCTCTACGATTTCATTTAAATCAGGGGTCACCAATCTCATTCCTGGAGGTCCGGTGCCCTGCAGGGTTTAGCTCCACTTTGCCTCAACACGCCTGCCTGGGTGTTTCAAGTATACCTAGTAAGACCTTGATTAGCCAGTTCAGGTGTGTTTGATTAGCATTGGAGCTAAAATCTGCAGGACACTGGACCTCAGAGAACAAGTTTGGTGAACCCTGATCTAAAATATTTTGATTTGTGTTCTGAAGATGGACGAAGGTCTCAGTGGTTTAGAATGACATGAGAGTGCGTAATTACTAACAGCATTTATAATTTTGGGTGAACCAACACTAATATTTTTATTGATGAAGAATATATTTAACACAGGCTCATTAAGGAAATGTGCCCAGGGCTATATCTTTGGAAATATGTGTCTGTGGCTGCATTTTGTGTGCAAAATGATCATTTCAGGGCATGACAACAGCAACAACTTTTGTTCATTTTCTTAACTCTGTATAGACAGCTTTTCCAGTGCAATCAGTTTGCTCAATAGCTGAACTTGTACAGTGTCGAACTTGGGACATGAAGTGGAATGGGTTTCGAGTCCAAAAAAGGACAGTTCCAGAAACCAGGTGAAACAAAACGAAACAAAAATCAAGAAAAAAAAAACAGTGTGAAATCGTGGTAAAAGCATGCAGCTGTGACAGCTTTTCTCTTCTAGAGTTTGTATCTAAAAACCCTATCAGTTGGGTTTAGGAAAGGGGTAGGTGGTTCAGTTGATAGCAAGCAAATGCCACATACGAGATAATGTAGCCCAGTAACATATTTGGAGTTTCGTAGAAATGCACAGCAGCCTCTAATTGATTTACGAGAAATGGCATGTATGAGTAAACGTGGCCCAGAAACATATTTGAGTCTGTCAAAAAATGTACACAGCAGCCTCTAGTGGATTTGCGACAACAAAAATGCAGCTCTAGGAAACTAAACTTGAAATTTTTAGAGTACATATTATTACAAGAACTCACCGTGCCATGAGTAAAGCGGAAACTGATGAGCAGAAGGATCTGAGCGACTAATATTGCAAATGCCAAATTTGCATGAATATGGTAGCGCTGGTTTCGGATGGTGCTCACAGACCTGTATGTACATAGGGAAAAAAATAAGAACTTGATTTATGGTGGATATAAATGTGTGAATGAATGGTCATCATATTAAATAAATCAAATAGGAACTGACGATTTTAAATATTTAAATAAATATTTTTTATATTCCTATAAGTTCATAAAGCAATGCGGGGTACTCACGACAGAACGGCAAAGGTGACCAGTGTAATGGCCAGGCAGAAAATCGAGATAGAGCAGCCAATGTAGCTGATGGTCGACAGCGCCATCCGGTGAGCCTCTGAGATCTGTGGAGGATCAAACATGAGGATGATGAGTTTGATTTGGCGTAGTGTACAGTACGATAATAAGGATCCCAGATGTTACTGCAAATAAGGAAGTCTGAACACCACAGCAGCTAGCCACTGATTGTAAAGTTAAAGGTTAAAGAAGACCATCTGTACTCGAATTGACAATCACATAATGTTAAATGACTCGAAAGTTTCACCATTATTTTATCAGCACAAACTTGCATGTGGTTGACAATCAGTCAAATCATTTCTTGGAACAAGATGCTTTTCTTAGAGAGCACTAACTGTTCACAGAAATGTAAAACAACAGTTGAAAAAGAACAGTTGAACAGTTTTTTATTTATCTACAGTATCTATCTATCTATCTATCTATCTATCTATCTATCTATCTATCTATCTATCTATCTATCTATCTATCTATCTATCTATCTATCTATCTATCTATCTATCTATCTATCTATCTATCTATCTATCTATCTATCTATCTATCTATCTATCTATCTATGCTCACTGGTCACTTTATTAGGTAAACCTTAGTAGTACCAGGTTAGACCCTATTTTGCCTTTAGAACTGCCTTAATCCTTCATGGCATAGATTCAATAAGGTACTGGAAATATTCCTCAGATATTTTGATTCATATTAACATGATAGCATCACACAGTTGAGTCTGGTGACTGTGGAGGCCATTTGAGTACAGTGAACTCATTGTCATGTTCAAGAAACCAGTCGGAGATTATTCACGGTTTATGACGTTATCCTGCTGGAAGTAGCCATCAGAAGATTGGTACACTGTGGTCATAAAGGGATAGACATGGACAACAACAATACTCAGGTAGGCTGATGGGCCTAAAGTGTCCAAAGAAAATATCCCCCACATTATTACACCACCATCACTACACCACCGTCTGGCCATTCTCCTCTGATCTCTGGCATCAACAAGGCATTTGTGCCGCTCACTGGATATTTCTCTTTTTCTCTGTAAACCCTAAAGATGGTTGTGTGTGAAAATCCCAGTAGGTCAGCAGTTTCTGAAATACTCAGACCAGCCCATTTGGCAACAACAACCATATATACATACATAGTTACATTTATTAAAGATTAAAAAAGTCTAAAAATACAAATTCCTCAAAATATCTTCAAATATTTGAGAGATCATGTGACTCTGAAGAGCTTAACTAGATTAAATTACATTTTGAAATATACTAAAATATTGAATATGTATTTATTAAATTATATATATATATATATATATATATATATATATATATATATATATAATATCTCACAGTTTCATATGTTTGTAACTGCATTTTCCAATCATACAAAGGCAGCTACATTCGGTAGGGGAAACAGAAGCAGCCAGGACTCGAACCAGCAACTTCTTAGGGTGCGTTTCCAATAGCACATTGGGAGCGCAGCCTAGCGAGTATTTTCAGTTCATTCATATAGAGGTTTAGCATAAATGGTCATGCAGTGCATTTTTTGGGACTGAAAGCAGCAAGGAAAAGTGTTTAGAGCAGTCGGCATAAGAACATTTTACATGCCTCAAAGCAGTGGCGTCATAGCGTTGCCATCAGCACTGAGTACACATTTGAAGCTGCAGTGGAAATCCATCATTACTGTAAAGCAACAGTGCTAACCACTGAGTATTGTGCTGACTAAAATATGACAATTTTATGAATAGATTTTTTATTTTTTTTTAGTAAGCACTGCGGTCTGAGCAAACCATAAAAAAACACAAGAAAGTGATCAGAGAGAGTGATAAGAATTAACCATTGATCCAACAAAAACTTCCCATATAGCGCTGTTTAATATGTTTTCCATTACTGGTTTTGAATCAAAATGTTGTTTCAAACAATACTTGTCCACCTTAAAGTAAATAAAGACCCAAACTACTACTGTTTTCTGTCACAAAACCCCTAGAGGTTAAAATGTCTCCCTGAACCCATCTGTTGGTAAATAGCGAGCAAGATTTCCTCCTGAACATTCGTCAGGATATAGAGCGGCATTGTTACAGCTCCTCTGACGCAGTGCCAGTAATTGGTAGCCAGTGTTGCGTCCGCACGTCGGTCCCATCGGCAGTTGTTTTTCCCCCCATAATTCTATTTCCATGCGTGGGTTCGATCGTACATTAACTCCGCTTCCTGCCTTGTGATTATCGCAGGCCCAGAATATCGAGGATCTGCAGAGCAGCGGAGAAAGCACGATTTCCTCCAGGCTTGAAGCATTGAGGTGAGCCGCTAATTGAGGCCCAGTCCGATGCGGGTATTAGCATCAAAGCTCCAGAGGAGATGATTACATGACTGAGCGAGGACAGATTTTCTCAACAAACACAAGCAGATGATAGACGCGGAAGAGCCAAGCTGCACCTGGGTGCTTCGGTTTGGCTTGAACACCACGGGAGGACGAATCTCCAATCAGTCTTTGTGTGAAGCAGTATGTCTCTCATCTTCACAAACACACTTCCCTACTTAGCGAGCGCTTCTTGCTGACAGGATCTTTAGCCTGACTTAAATTCACTCTTTAGCTCTCTTTAAATAAATCAACAGGACAAGGGTTACCAAAATATCAAGCTGTGCCTGTCGTTCCACATTTCAAAGCAGATGTTATTTACAAGCTCTCCCTGACGGATGACAGTCGATCTGTCCGCCCAAACGTGCTCACAGTTCTCGACCCACTCAGCCTCTGACTAGCGGCCTCCCTCGGGACACTCTCACACACGGCGATGGCTTTCCAATGGACTAGAAACACAATCCTGCACGTCACCCCTGGAGAAGTGTCTCAACTGCGTCCAAACTGTCTTCTCTCTTAAAGCTGTGCTGCTGATTTACGGAGAGTCTCGGCCAATCAAAACCTCAAGCCCTGCATGCTGCTGGCTCGCCGCACATCAGAAACACAGTTAGCATCGCATTCATTACAGCGCCTTGGTGTTTTCGGAGATTCCTGCTGGGAAATGGCCTACATGCTCAATCAAGGAATCTTGAGAAATTCAACTAACTTCAGGGTTCAATGGTGATTTATACGATATGTGCATATTTTTTCAAAATCTAATGCTTTAGCAGGATTTAGCCTTTTAGACTTGTTTGTGAGTGAGTTATGAGCAGCTTGAGGAGTGGGTATATCACCTTTTTTTAAACATTTTTGCAAGGGATATATTACAGTTTTCTCAGTCGCTTTGGTGCGTTTCTCACAACACCAGTGCATTTTTGCACAACAGTTAATGCATTTCTCAAAACAATTAGTGCAAACCGCAAAACCTAGCTGATAACCTGCAAAAGCGCGTCACATGCTTAAAATGGATAATTCATTCCTCAAAAGCAAGTATTCATGTCAATCAAAGTGTCAGTATCATCAAAATGAAAAGTCCTGACACCATTGTTTATGAACAAGATAGTCAAAAGGCTTAGTCATGTTTTCATTATGACAGTTTACTCTGGACATTTTTTCAATGCAAAAAAAGTCAGATGTCGGTGACACTTCCTGATAATGCTCAAGACCAGGCCTGTGCAGAGACGGTCCAAAGGGCATGTGCAGGATAAATTGTTTGAAGAGTGTGTGTGTGTGGGGGGGGTTGTTGTGCGCATAATGAAGAGCGGTGTTGTCGCGCGCGTTCTGATCAGCTGTGTTGTCGCGCACGTACTCAAGAGCGGTGTTGTCGCGCGCCTACTGAAGGGCGGGACCGAGGGTGTGGTCGGGGGGCCGCGGGGGCACTTTTGATCAAAAAAATGGGGGAACTCACTCAAAACTTCCATTCCCTCACCTAAAAAAAAGGCGTATATATGTATAAATTAAAACACCCCCACCCCACTTCAGTCACATCAGTCTGTACCAGTCTGTATCTACCTATAATATCAATATATATAAGATGCAGGGCAGGCACGTGCACACATAGGGCTCAACTTGTGCAGTGCACATGCCCTTTTTAGTCTTGGATAGAAAGTGCCCTTCCAAAATGATCAAAAGTGCCCCCGCGACGCGACACACCCTCGGTCCCGCCCTTCAGTAGGCGCGCGATAACATCGCTCTGAGTACGCGCGCGACAACACAGCTGATCAGAACGCGCGCGACAACACAGCTGATCAGAACGCGCGCGACAACGCGCATTGAGTGACAAGCGCGCTGTGTACGGATAGAATCAGTGGAGCGGGGAGCGCTCTCTCTCCCCGCTCCGCTGATTCTGTCAGAGTACAGCGGTCGGCGCGGGCCACAAAATATTGCACTGAAGGCCGCAAATGGCCCGCGGGCCGCGAGTTTGAGACCCCTGCTTTAGGCCCATCAGTACCAATTGAGCATCATGTCAATGCCACAGCCTATCTGAGTATTGTTGCTGACCATGTCCATTCCCTTTATGACCACAGTGTTCCCATCTTCTGATAATAATAATAATAATAATAATAATAATAATAATAATAATAATAATTCCTTACATTTATTTACCGCTTTTCTGGGAACTCAAAGCGCTTTACACAATGGGGGATCTCCTCATCCACCACCAGTGTGCAGGATCCACCTGGATGACGCGACGGCTGAGTGATGACTACTTCCAGCAAAATAACGCGTCATGTCATAAAACGCAAATAATCTCAGACTGGTTTCTTGAACATGACAATGAGTTCACTGTCCTCAATTGACCTCCACAGTCACCAGAGCTCAATCCAATAGAGCACCTTTGGGATGTGGTGGAACGGGAGATTCGCATCATGGACGTTCAGCCGACAAATCTGCAGCAACTGCTTGATGCTAAAAATCTCTGAGGAATATTTCTAGTACCTTGGTGAATCTATGCCATGAAGGATTAATGCAGTTTTGAAGGCAAAAATGGGTGCAACCCAGTACTAGTGGGTGTACATAATAAAGTTCCTGGTGAGTGTTAATCTGCATTACTTGCTTACTAAATTTTCTATTTTTAGAGCTTTGGTGTTACCGCTACTGAAGAATGTATATGCATGTGTGGACTCATACTACTTCTTAAGAGTGTATTCAATCTTGGGATCTTTAATTTTAATAAAAATAATTCAGCTGTAATTGAACTGTTGGGGGGATTTATTTAAACATAGCCACCAGATTCTAAAATAAACTCTGGTGAAATTTGACAAAAATATCAACTTAAAATGCACTAAAGACATCTAAACAAGATCAAACCGCATGCTTTAATGACTGAGAGAAGAGTGGCGTGTTTAAAAGAAAATGAACATCAGTACAGTCTGTGCAGATGTCTGAACCACTGTGGCTTTGCAGCAGACTTTAATTTCTGGAGTTCCTGCCACTGAATGACCACTTTTACCAATATATGAGCTGGTAAAAATATATACTTGCATTCAATGTGTGCATTTTCATGTTGTGAGTTTATCTTTAATCCTTTAGGTTTAGTAACTTTAAAGAGATACTTGAAATGAAAATTAAAATTTGAACTCACCTGATTCTTTCTTCTGTTAAATACAAAAGAAGATATTTTGAAGAATGCTGGAACCCTGTAACCATTCACTTCCAGAGTACTTATTTGTCCTATTATGGAAGTCAGTGTGTACAGGTGTTCAGCCTTTTTCAAAATATCTTCTTTTGCATTCAAGAGAGGAAAGAAACTCATTAAGGTCTGAAAAAAAACTTGACGGAGAATAAATAGTGAGTCAATTTTATTTTTGGGTGAACTATCTCTTTATATTCAGTGTTAGATTTTCCAGAATAAAAGCTTTGCCTAAGACTAGAAGACTATTCAGATGGCAAATGTTTCTCATGGCAATATCTGTTAAAGAAAAACCTCTATAGCTCCTTAGGGATTAAACACATGTTTTTGAATGAAGATCATTTTGTGGTGGACTTCTGAGTTTGTCATCCTAAGAAACCCACAACTATACTTTATCCACTCACATATGATCAACATACTTAGTCAGACACTAGAATTTACATTTGTGTCCTAAAATATGCCCCCTTTCCTGCAGAGTTTAGCTGTAACCCTGATCAAACGTCACACTAAGTTAACACACAGTGCACTGACATCAGACATCAGTGCTGACGTAATCGCCATGACAAAAGGTAACCGCCATAATCGTTTTATGTGACCCACAAGAGCATGGCAGTCAAATCATTTAAAGTGGCCCGCGAGAGCCTATGATTTTACAACAAATGCAAGAAATGATTAATGTAAGTAAAGATTGAATACAAAGTTAATGCAAAATGATTAGTGCAAATGGCATGCATGTGCAGATTAATTTCAATTGCATCTTTTGCGGAAATTCAAGGTATTCAATTTAAACGGAAAACTCACATCATGTGAAAGCATCCCGCGTGTAATTCTAGAGCGAGTGATGTAGTGCTTTACGTTTAGTATAAACCCAGCATTAGAAATAAAAGTACATGCTGCTTTATATCTCATGTTGACAATAAACTACATCTCCCATAATGCATGTTTTGTGTGAGACCCAGCTCAAAATATATTGTTTTTCCATTGTTCTGCTTCTCCAAAATATGACCAAAGTTTTGAAGAACGGTAATGACTTTTGTCTGATGATGTTTGCTTTGTTATTTACTTTGCTAGAATAATGTGAGCTTCTTTAGGGTATATTTAATAAAATAATTTATGCATATATATATATATATATGGTCCCACTTTATATTAAGTAGCCTTAGTAAATACATGTATTTACTGTGTACTTATGCTTGATTAAATACATGTATATAATTACATCTGTAGTTAACTTTTGTAATTACATTTGTAAATACACTGTTGACCATCTCTTACACCTTAACCCACCCTTAAACCTACCCATGCCACCAAACCTGTCCATAACCCAACCTCTATCCCAACTCAAAAGCCCCACAAGTGTTCTCAAATACATTATAAACACAGTAAGTACATTGTATTTATTTTTTTGAGGTGAGTATATAAATAAAAAGACAATTATGTTTTATCAATATAAACCACCTGACAAAAGTCTTGTCAATCCCAGTTGTAGGAGCAACAGACTTGAATTCTAGTTGATAATTTAAAAAAGTTTTAGAAGGTAGATTATTCTGATGAATTATCTGTTGAACTGCTTCCCGATCATCACAAATATTGCAGAAGACATATTGGAACTCGCATGGACCCAAGATTCTCACAGAAATAAGTCAAGTTTGGTGAAGGAAAACTCATGGGTTGGGGTTACATTCAGTATGGGGGCAAGGATATCAAGAGGTATGAAGACATTTGTGCTGCCCATTCCATTACAAACCACATGAGAGGGCAAATTCCTCCGCATCAAAGTTCCTCAAAGCAAAGAAGGTTAAGGTCCTCGAGGATTGGTCAACCCAGTCACCAGACATGAACATTATCGAGCATGTATGGGGTAGGATGAAAGAGAAGTGAAGATGAATTTCATTGGAGATAATTCCGAAGAATCTTGATGAACTCTGGGAGTCCTGCAAGAACGCTTTCTTTGCCATCCCAGATGACTTTATTAATACGTTTTTTGAGTCACTGCAGAGATGTATGGATGCAGTCGTCCAAGCTCATGGAAGTCATACACAATATTAATTATTTTTCCGCTGCACCATGACTTTAACCTCTATATTGTACATTATTTCTGTTAAGTGACCGTCTAAGCGAAGTCAGACCTTACTGTCCCAATTACATAATTAAAAATCAAGGCATGATCATATTTTATTTTGCCAAAATAAGTGTAATCTAGAGGCCTTTGCCTTTCATATAAGCCACTTCTGATACCAAATGATCCACTACAAGTCAAGTTATTATTTGTTGTTCCTAAAACTTGAAAAGGAGGCAAGACTTTTGTCAGGTGGTGTATTTAAATCAATACGTTAAGAAGTAGTAACCTTTTTAACTTGCCCTTTGAGGGCAGTCCAGATGCTGAAACAGTTCTTAGTGAAAATGAGTTTGACACCCTTGTTGTAGAAGTATCATTCTTAGTTCATGTTAAAGTAATTAACGTTTAAAGATGCTTTATCAATTACATTCTTTACTACTTATGCTCCTTTGTACAAAGAAGGCCATCACGGTGTTCACGTTATAATTTATGCACCAAAAGAATATAAACATGTCTGAACTTAGTTTTAGACTGTTAAATAAAACTAAAATAAAAGTTATTTTAGGTGTAAAAATTGTGGTTGCATTACACTTTCTGCCCCATTGGCTTCCGAATTTCGCATATACTGCTGCATTCCAAAGTTTAATCTTAGTGAACTTCTTTTAGTAGTGTTGCATTATCTTGTTTTATCTCTCCCATTTTGCAGCACCGTATGAACAAATTTCAAATGCTCAAATTCTAGTGTGATCATGGCTCAACAAGCTTTTAAAGTTGATCCAATGGTTCACTTTATACAGTGTGTATTTTCCAATGTTTAATATCATGGTGTTTGCGTATTACACGCAAAATGAGCATATGGTTCTTAAAGAAACTTCATGTTTGATGTTTTGCCAAAGCAAGCAAGATTAATGTCAATTAAGCAAGCGAAAAATAATACTGGCAGCAGACATTGAGTGACATTGAGAGCACCTCACCTTCATGGGAACCACTTGCATAAGGATGGCGAAGTTTGTCAGATGGTTACACAAGCAAATAGAGTAGGACAGGTTTCCATCAGCTCTCACACACCCCTCATTGGACCACACACCCTCTTTGGAGCTAAAACAGACAAACACGCGCATATAGAGGTTTAATTGAGCATTAGATTTGCTGGAGTTATTCGTTGTTTATATTGAAAGCATATGAATTCACACCCTCGTCCAGCGCTAATGGAATTACGGAAGAGCTGTTGATCAAATCTGATCTAAACGAAATGAAAACCAACGCAAGATTCCATTAATCTCAAATATTTCATCTTTATAACTCCATTGTGGATGCAGATATTTATTAAATATCCACATGGGACAAAGAGGGAACAAGCACAAGAAAGAATGATAGAGAGAGAAAACAAGAAAGATGGATATCACTCCAAATCAAACAAGCTCTACTTCAAATTATTCACATTTTTCACATGACGCTAAACTTGGCTTCATTTATTGGCCTCAAGTGATTTTTTCTGGTATAGCTATTATAGCATAAGAATGTTTTTTTAATCAACAATAGACTTTCCAATTTCTAAAAAAAAGTTAGCAGGGCTGAGAGATTTAGACTACAAGATAAATTAAAAGACTCTGTCCATGAAACAATCAAAATGAAGATGATTTAAATGCTGGATGTCATGATGTAGATATGCGAAGTGTCATGCGTTTATTTCTGGCCTTTACTTGGGTAATAGGATAACAGCTGGATATAAATACAAGACACACTTTGATATATTAAAGCACTTCCTGACAATCTTAAACAGGAAATGTGAAACGAGACACTCAAAATGACAGACAGAGCGATACATGAGAGGACAGACAGGAAGAATGGCATAAATATCTCTGAACACTGAGATTAAGGATGAAAGTTTGGACATCCTCAAAGAGAAATATAATAGGCCGTAAATAAAGTGCAAGATGTTTGAATAAGGTGGAAAAATGGGGCCTATAATGCAATGTTAACAGTTTTAACAATAAAATATGTTAAATTAAGACAGTAAAACTGTTAAAAAGTGAGCTTTTGAACAACGTTTATGTATACAAGTAAAATAAAAAAAAGAAATACCTCATGATTTACATTTACAAAAACACAAACATTTTACATTCTACCAAGTCCCATCGCATACATATCACTTTATTGTTACCTATAAAGATGATTACTTGATATTTACTTAACATATAACTGGATATTTGGCTTCATTTTTGCAAATTACAAACAAATAATTGTTAAACACGAAGGCCACATCTGTGTGCATAAAGATCTGACCCACCTGTAGTCCAGGAAGGCACAGTATAGGAAGACTTTATTACTTTGGTTCAAGGCCTGGAGCTGCTGTTCTTTACTCTGAAAGACAAAACCAACACAGTTTAGATCAAAACATCACACAGTGGAGACTTTCTCATTCAGTCTCAAGCTTTGCTCGATTAAACCAGAGCTTTAAAAGTGTTGCAGTATCAGTGTTGATCATAGAAAGTCTCTTACAGTAAACTTAGTGGTAAATATCAAAATATACACTATCAAATGCATGATATTTAAAAACCTGGGATCTTCCTTCTGTTGCACAAAAAATAAGATATACTGGATGATATATAAAAATGTCGAAAAAACTGACTTCTATAGTATGTTTGATTATGGATGTCAATGGCTTCATTTTCCCAGCATTCTTTGGAATATAGTGTTTTGTTTTCAAAAGAAGACAGAAATTCATTAAAGTTTAAAACTAATAAATGGTAATAACCTGCACCCATACATGCACAGTTCTTTTAAATGCACATACAGTAAAAGCCAGAATTATTAGCCTCCCTAAATCAATAACCCTTGTTTATTTTTTCCCCCAACTTTTATTTAACGGAGAGATGTTTTTTGAGAAATTTCTAAACATAATAGTTTTAATAACTCATTTCTAAAGATTTATTTTATCTTTGCCATTATGACAGTAAATAATATTTGACTAGATATTTTCAAGACACTTCTTTACAGCTTAAAGCAGGGGTGTCCAAACTTGGTCCTGGAGGGCCGGTGTCCTGCAGATTTTAAATCCAAAATGCCTCAACACACCTGCATGGATGTTTCTAGAAAGCCTAAGTGCTTGATTAGCTAGCACAGGTGTGTCTGATTGGGGATGGAACTAAACATTGCAGGACACCGGCTCCTGGCTTAAAGACACTCCTGGCTTAAAGTGACATTTAAAGGCTTAACTAGGTTATTTAAGTTAACTAGGCAGGTTAGGGTAATTAGGCAAGTTTTTGTATAATGATGGTTTGTTCTGTAAACTGTTGAAAAAAAATGTATAGCTTAAAGGGACTAATAGAATTGACCTTAAAATGGCTTTTAAAAAATAAAAACTGCTTTCCTTCAAGCCAAAATAAAACAAAAAAGACTTTCTCCAGAAGGAAAAATTTGATCAGACATACTGTGAAAATTTCCTTACTCTGTTAAACATCATTTGGGAAATATAAAAAAAAATCAAAAATCAAAGGGAGGCTAATAATTCTGACTTCAACTGTACATACATATATTCATACAGTACATGTATACTGTACATACATAGATACATACTGTACATGCATACATATAAATATGCTATGAAACAAGAATACATTGCTTGTAGTTTCAATAATCAGACTCACTGAATATCCATGAGTGCATGACGGACATGACTAGGACTTGATTTGAAGTAAAGAACAGACCTTTATTTCAGAGAGGAATGGAAAACAGCTAATAAAGTGAATGAAGGATATTCGGAAATGGTTAGGAAAGTACCTCTAGGACTTCAGCCAGGCAAACTGGTGATCATTTAAAAAGGTAAATGAGATTAATTGAAGCACAGGTTTTTTGGCTTTCTTTATGAATATGTTAGCTTCAAGGGCAACTATAAGCTAGTGTTCTAAGGGGGTTACAGCCCCATCAGAATTTTAAATAGTCCTGGTATAGCCCCCAAATAGAGTGACCAGATGTCCTGTTTTTCCAGGTCAGTCCTGTATTCAGTCTTTTTTTTTGAGCTCAGTTTTGTTACGGTTACACCTGGCATACATAATACTCAGGCATCTTTGACCTGTAAAAAAGAAGTATTTTGAAAACACCCCATTTTCATTTGGAAAAACAGGTGTCACGTTTCAGTATAGATGAACTGTAAAGCAAACATTTGAAGATGGAGGCCTGGTTATCCATAATTGAGTGGTCTTTTGGACTATTGCATAGTGTTCCTTGATTCATCAAGTCTTTCTGTTATGATCATTACACAGACTGCAATGAATGAATCACACAACATACACTTTAAGCTGTATCGATTGAAATCTTTCCTTTAAAGACCACCAATGATGAAAATAATTTTTTGTAAGCTGTTTGAACAGAACTGTGTGTAGGTTTAGTGTGTCCACTGTCATGTTGGAGTGATATAAACCCAAGTCTTTTTTTTTATTTCCTGGCATTAAAATGCGACCTAAAACCCAGTGATTTTGAGGCCCACTGCAATGAGACGTACTGTAGGAGGGTGGTTTTCTTAGCCCACTGAACTGATTGACAGGTGACGTTTCTACAATATCATGTATACACACGTCTACATAACTTTTTTTTTTTTGCAAATTCACTGGGATTAAAATATTTGTTTCAACTCTCTGTGATTTTTATAAGTTTAATAAGTTTAAAATGTTTTTAAAACAGAGCATGTTTGTAATAAAGACAGTAAAATACCTGATGAATGAAATTCTTAACTGCTATAATCACCACGGCCGCATGGTGTCAGTAAACACGCATATGTTTGTGTGTGTGCTGCAAATGGCATTTGTGTCATCATTTAGGCTCATCATTTCAGAAAGGCTTGAATAAACTCCATCGCAAGTAAATGAAACTTAATTACTTAGTATTTTTGACTAATGAGCTGTATTTCAGCTTCATCTAAGTCTGTCTCTGTCACTGTGCTGTTTATCTGACATAATGCATAATGAAAAGCAATACAAAAACAGCTATGTATTTAGACACCAAAAGGGAAGGATTGTGGAGGCTATAATAATTAATCTGATGCATATTTTGAGCTGAAACTTTACAAACACATTTTGGAGAAACAAAAGGCTTAGCTTAAATCTTGTAAAAGGGGTAAAATGGGTGATCTTTAAAATATAATAAAAAGCTAGTCTCGGCGAGGAGCATTTTCATTCTATATGATTATTCAAAAATATGAAACGAGCTAGTGTAAATGTCACCTTAGTGTCAACAACCAAACCAAAGGTTGCCTTGTTTGTCCTAGAAACAAATTACCCTGCATTAAAATAGAGATGCAGCGATTAACCGATTTCACTATTAAACGCACTGTAATTCATCACTGTTAGAAATCAGGACTGCAACACCGCGTTTCTGTTACATGGAATAGAACTATTGCAATTTGCACAAAATGAAAACAAAGTTGTCAGTGGACAGCTTTTTATCATGAATATAATGAGTTCAAATGTCCATTTCAAATGTGCTGAAACATAACCGATTATATCGCTTTGTATGCCAAACGTTTAACATCGCTTGTGGATTAGCAATTTGATTTAAATCCCATCATTACATTTTTGTTCAGTCATTTAATTTATATATGTATTTCAATATTTGTTCAGTTGTTTTGTGCATGCCCTTTTTATTATTTCATTTATAAATTAATAAAAAAATTGTACGAGTAATAGTGTGTCCAGAGTACAGTATAATCACATCCCATATAAAAATTTGATGTGATATTATAGCCTATACAAAATACATCAATTAAATAAAATTTCATCTGTAAATTTCACACACTATATACAGTAAATAGTCCTGGCTGGGCCAGGTAGCATTTCTTTGGCATCTGTGGAGTTTGCATGTTCTCCACGTGTTCGCGTGGGTTTCCTTCAGGTGCTCCGTTTTCCCCCACAGACCAAAGACATGTGGTATATTTAAATTGGATAAACAACTTGCCATAGTATATGAGTGTGCGTGTGTGTGTGTGTGTGTGAGTGTATGGGTGTTTCCCAGTACTGGGTTGTGGCTGGAAGGGTATCCACTGCGTAAAACATGCTAGAATAGTTGGCAGTTCATTCCGCTGTGGCGACCCGTGATAAATACAGGGATTAAGCCGAAGGAAAGTGAATGAATAAATGTTCATTCCATTTAAATGACAAAAAACTTCATGGTTTTTGTAAAGTTAATGACATTCCTGAGAGGTCTCTTGAGATACAACAAATTATGTTGGTGAGACCAAACAATTTGTGCCATTTTCCAAATCTCCACAGGCTGTGCAATGAACCGAGCCTGTTTATTAAAAAGTTTTTCAAAAAAAATGGTGGTTTAACTAATGAATGGTGTTCTAAAGGAAAATGGAAGTGCTTTTGTTGTGCTTTTGCCTGAAAGGAACAGAACAGACTATTAAGTTTAAAAGAAAAGAACGGTGTGACTGAGGCATAGCAGAGGTGTTGGAGACACAAACCTGAGACTGTGTTTTTATTGTACATGGCTTGTCTGGAAATAATAAAGCATGTAAACGATGATGCCGAGTTTCAGATGGAAATGTGTGTGATTGACATTTTATTTAGACCACAAATAAAGTAATTGAGGTTTCAAGGTCTTAAAAGGATAGTTCACACAAAAAAGAAAATTCTGTCATCATCAAGTGGCTCAGGTAGTGAATCTCACCCAGGATGGCAGCTGTAAGATGTGGCAAGAAGGTGAGCTATGTCTATCCGCATAGTATCCAGCGCATAGAGGTGCAACCAGGAGGCAGGCCAGTACATCAGGAGATGTGAAGGAGGTCATACAAGGGCAACAACCCAGCAGCAAGGCTGCTACCTCAGCCTTTGTGCAAGGAGGAACAGGAGGAGCATTGCCAGAGCCCTGCCAACTGAAATCCTGCAGGCCACAAATGTGTCTGTGTCTGCTAAAATGGTCAGTCTCCATAAAGGTGGTATGACGGCCTTAAGTCCACAGGTGGGGGTTGTGCTCACAGCACAACAAGGTGCAGGGTGTTTGGCATTAGCCAGAGAGCTAAGATTGGAAAATTTGCCACTGGTGCCCTGTGCTCTTCACAGATGAAAGCAGATTGACACTGAGCCCATGATAGAGTCTAGAACGTTCTGCTGACTGCTATATCCTCCATGACCGGTTTGGCAGTAGGCCAGTTATGGTGTTGGGTGGCATTTCTTTGGATAGCTGCAAAGGCCTTCATGTGCTTGCCAAAGGTAGGCTGACTCCCGTTATGTACCAAGTTGAGATCCTTAGACCCCTTGTCAGACCAATTGCCGGTGCGGTTGGCCCTGGTTTCCTCATAATGCATGACAATGCTAGTCCTCATGTTGCTGGAGTGTGTCAGCAGTTCCTGCAAGACGAAGGCATTG